ACTACTCAGGAGGCTGAGGCAGAAGAACTGCTTGAACCCAGGAGGCAGAGGTTACCATGAGCCAAGATTGCACCACTACGCTCCAGCCTGGGTGACAGAGCAAGGCTCCATCTCAATATATACACATGTATATATATATATATATATATATATAATCTCCACTAATAGAAAGCAAAAGCAAAAAGAGCTAGTATCAGTGCTGAGGAGATGTGATGACTCAGGTTTTTCAGTGCGGAAAGTGAGGTCACAGCCTAGAGGGGACAGGGTGAAAATGAGGGATTGACCCCCTCTAATCCATCCCCACACAGCAGTCAACAGCCTTTCTTAGATCCCTGTGGCCTGGTCACTCCCCTGCCAAAACCCTTACTAGGGGTCCCACACCTTCAGGACAGAGTCCAAGCATCTTGAGGGCTTACAAGGTGTTATGACCTTGCTCCCTTTACCTCTCCGTACTAAAGGCCTATCACTACCCCATCACCATCACTCCCTGCCTCCCTCCCAGCTCCAGCTACACTGATCTTAAATTGTGCTTTCTTTTCCTCCCTGATCTTTGTATCAGCTGTGTCCCCAGCCCGAACTGGGCTTTCTTTTCCTCTCCTTCTCCTGGTTAGTTCCCAGGCCTCATCATTCAGGTTAGTTTAGCATTGCTGCTTCCAGGAAGTCTTCCTGACTTCCATGCCTAGGTTATGGGTCTCCCCTGGGTGTTCCCATAGCACTTGCTCACCTCCAAAGTCTACTTCCTAGTATTCGTGACCTTGCGTTTTCCCCTCCCACACTGATTCCAGGCTGACCCTGTGAATTGCTTTAACCAACAGAGTGCAGAAGGGATGATATGCCCGTTCCTGCCAGCTTCCACTTGTGTAATTTTGGAAGCTCTAAGCAACTGTGTAAGAAGTTCAGCCACCCAGCTGGAGAGGACATGTGGAGCAAAGGGGCCCTGAGACTACATGGAGAAAGAGGCCAAGCCTTTCCGGTGCCCTACTTGAGTCTTCATATGACTACAGTTCCAGCTGCCATCTGACTACAACCTCATGAGAGACCCCAAGTGAGACCAGCAGAATTGCCCAGCTGAGCCCAGTCAATTTGCAAAGCTGTGGAAAATAATGATTGTTTTAAGCCACTAAATTTTGGCGTGTTTGTTATGCTGCAATAAGTAACTAAAATATCACTCTGTATTTTAATTGCCTACTTTGTTTGCCCTCCTAGGCTATTTTCTGTGAGAGCAGGGACCAACCACGTCCACGGTTTGTTTTTGTTTTTGTTTTTCTCGAGACAGTCTTGCTCTGTCACCCAGGCTGGAGTGCAATGGTGTGATCTTGGCTTACTGCAACCTCTGCCTCCTGGGTTCAAGCGATTCTCCTGCCTCAGCCTTCCAAGTAGCTGCGATTACAGGTGCACACCACCACACTTGGCTAATTTTTTGTATTTTTTAGTAGAGACGGGGTTTCACCATGTTGGCCAGGCTGGTCTCAAACTCCTGACCTCGTGATCTGCCCACCTCAGTTTCCCAAAGTGCTGGGATTACAGGTGTGAGCCACTGCACCCAGCCCACATCCATGTTTTAAAATTGTTATATGCTTAGGATATCTCTTAGCACTAAATAAGCTCTCATATATTTGATTACTGCATTTTAAGAATGCCTACAAAAATGAAGGCAACAAGTATCTAGAACGCTCGCCGTGGTGAGAGTACACAAAGTACACAATGGCATGTGTGGTCATCATGAAAGGTGATTAAATGGACAGCGGACAATAGGTTCCCAATGTCAGACACACAGCTTACCTTTGTGGAGGGATTGAGTCAACTTGAGGGACTGCATAGAGGGACTAAACCACAATCCAACACCATAGAGTTTGGGAGCAGAAAAGAAAGGCTGATGGTTTGAGGCCTGGCAGTTGAAGCAGCTGCCATTTCCCACAGTGCTCTCGTGAGCTGCACTGAACAGGTGATCTGCTGTGGGCTCCAGCCACCCTCACCATCCACCTTCACACAAGTCATCTGCTGATGTTCCCGTTTATGGGGACAAGAGATGCCATGTTATTCTATACATGGGGACAGATGTCCTATTCTCTCCTTCAAAACTTTTCAACTAGTTTCAAACAGGGAGAGCCCTCAATGAATGTCTGTATGTGCAATGAATACATTTCCACTCAAATCAGCAAATCCCCAGACTGGAGTCTGGTACCCTTGGCTGTAATAATCATTAATACAAGGTATTCTGTCAATAGGCATTGTTTGGATATATTCTTTGGGCTGACAATTTACATCAAGCTCTATATGGGACACAAAACAGGAAAATGCTATTCCTGCCCTGAGGGAGAGCACTGGGAAGGGTAGTTACAAACATGAGATAAATATCACGATAGCATATAATTACTGCTAAACTGTGTAGTAAGAAATTAAGTGCTATAGGAATTGGCAAAAGTAGGGAGCAGGGAGGGCTGAAACAGTTGAGTCTATACTGAAGAGCTGGGATTGGCTAAGACTTGAGAAATGACACAAACTATGGATAGTCTGAAAGGAAGGAGGGTACAAAAGATCCAGGAGGAAGAACAAAGCCAAACCAGCATACTTGTTTGTTACTTTATTTTGGGGGCCGCAACATAAGGAATGTGAAAGGTGGCTGTCCCAAATCCCAAAGCAAGGCTATTTCTGAATATCAAACTTCCGGGCCTTTATTTATTGTTGCCTCTGCTTGCAATGCCTTTCTTCCTTCTCCACCTGGCAAGCCCTTACTCCTATTTAAAGGTCCTGCTCAAATGCAACTATTTTTCTGAAGCCTTCGAAGGGATCCCACAACCCATTGCTCATGTTTCTATGGGATCATAATCTATTACACTTGCCTACTTACCTCCCCTACTACTATAATTAACAGCAACTTAACACACTTACTGGGCTTTTATTATGCTAAACATTTTTTTAAATTTATTTTTTGAAGGGTATTCCTGAAACACCAAGCTAAACTTTTTTTTCTGAGATGGAGTCTTGCTCTGCTGTTAGGCTGGCGTGCAGTGGCCTGATCTTGGCTCACTGCAACCTCTGCCTCCCGGGTTTAAGCGATTCCTCTGCCTCAGCCTCCCGAATAGCTGGGACTGCAGGTGCATGCCACCACACCCAGCTAATTTTTTATATTTTAGTAGAGACACGGTTTCACCATGTTGGCCAGGATAGTCTTGATCTCCTGACCACGTGATCCGCCCGCCTCTGCCTCCCAAAGTGCTGGGATTACAGCAAGCCACTGCACCTGGCCCATGCTAAACATTTTTAATGTATTATTTTATTGAAACCTCACAACAATTACATGAGGCATTATTTTCCCTATTTTATGGATGAAGCTCCTGAGACTTAGTGTTAAGGAACCTGCACAAGATAACATAGCTAGAGAGTAAGCAAGCTGTGATTCCAACCTAGATTTGTGGGACTCCAAAGCCCACTCTTTTTTTTTTTTTTTTTTTTTGGAGACGGAGTTTCGCTCTTGTTACCCAGGCTGGAGTGCAATGGCGCAATCTCGGCTCACCGCAACCTCCGCCTCCTGGGTTCAAGCAATTCTCCTGCCTCAGCCTCCTGAGTAGCTGGGATTACAGGCATGCGCCACCATGCCCAGCTAATGTTTTGTAGTTTTTAGTAGAGACGGGGTTTCACCATGTTGACCAGGATGGTCTCGATCTCTTGACCTCGTGATCCACCCGCCTCGGCCTCCCAAAATGCTGGGATTACAAGCGTGAGCCACCGCGCCTGGCCTCAAAGCCCACTCTTAATCCACTGGACCATGTTCCTGGAAGCCACAAATGCTCTTTCCTCATCTGTCTTCTCAGATCCTAGGACGGGCTGATATATGGCTCAAAAGTTGTTTAATGGCCAGGCACGGTGGCTCAAGCCTGTAATCCCAGCACTTTGGGAGGCTGAGGCGGGTGGATCACCTGAGGTCAGGAGTTTGAGACCAGCCTGGCCAACATGGTGAAACCCTGTCTCTATTAAAAATACAAAAATTAGCTGGGTGTGGTAGTGGGCCCCTGTAACCCCAGCTACTCCGGAGGCTGAGGCAAGAGAATCGCTTGAACTCGGTAGGTGGAGGTTGCAGGGAGCCAAGATCGCACCATTGCATTCCAGCCTGGACGACAGAGCTAGTATCCGTATCCAAATAAAAAGTTGTTTAACAAATTGATACAACTTTCAGGCCATATGCCTGGGTCTAAAAGCAGGTGTCCCCGGTACACTTTTACCCCAGCTAGAGACTTCCACCCATCTTAAAGTCACATACCCGGAGGAAGAGGATAGGGAGGAAATCTAAACACCTTACACTTGAATGTGAGCTCCGTTATTTCACGGATTCAAGTCTGGTGAAAGAGGGACTATTCTTTTCCACAAAAGAACAAACACACAGATAACATCTGCCACGTCTGAAGACCGGGGTTCTAACAGGGCGCGGAGGTGTCTCAGGTATTTTGAAAGGAGCTACCCAAGAACCCCAGCCTGTCAGGCCAATCATTCCATCTGACCCTATTTGGCGCGGATTGGGGCCCGGACAAGGTAAGGGGTTGGCATGAAGCTGCACAGTGAGACAAAGCTGGGCCGGAGCTAGAAGCTAGAATCAAAGCCTTGCCCTGCGCGGTTTCTCGTCGCCTATGCAGTCGGGCCCTGCCCTGGCATCTCCAGGCAGGTGGCCTTGGATGGAAGCTCGGCCTACTGGCTTCTTTTGTTGGACCCCGGGGCTCCTCTCCTCTGCCACGGAGCTTGGTTACTCCCATCTCCTCAAGCCTAGGGCCTGGGGAAGCCTTTCCTCGTTCGCGGCCTCAGCCTCTGCAAGGTCCTCTTGGCCCCCCGAAGCCGCTCCAGCCCTGCTTCTCAACGGTCACGCTTCCGAGCGGCTCGCTTTGCCACCTGCAGTCTCCAGCCTCTGCGTGGCAACGCCAAGGACCTCCCCCACGGAAGGCTGGGCCCACATCCCCATGCCCTTGCCGCACGTCACCTCCACTCTGGCCCGGAATACGCCTCCTCCCTGCACTTCCTCTCGGCAGCGCAGTCTTTCCGGCCAGGCTCCCCTCTAATTGGCCGGCTCAGAACTTCCTCGGGGACTTGGCCACTCGGGGGCAACGCGGCGGCCTCTCTAGCCGCTGTCCCGAAGTTCGGTCTCGCCCTTTCGGCTGCGAGCTCTTTATGGTGCCGGCAGCGACATGTGGCGCCTCCCGGGACTTCTGGGCCGAGGTAAGGGGCGTCCGAGCAGCGAGCACCACTCGGGGCCGAGGAGATCGAACTGAATTGGTTGCTGGCCAGAGTAAACAGCCAAAGCGATTGGGGGCGGGGTTAGAGCTATGGAAGGCGGGGCCTGAAAGGGGGCGGGGAAGTCAAGGGCTGTTGGAATTTGAGATGTGGGTGGGCCTAGCCAGAAGAGGGTGGAGTCCAAGGAGATGGGTGGGACTATTGGGAGGGTGAGGAGTCCAATGGCAGGGGATGGAGGAATTACAGACGATTAGGGGCCAATGGAGTAGGCATAGCCAGTGGAGAGAGGAGAGGTTTAGAGACAAAGCGCCCCAAACATTATTGAGAGTATGTGTATAAACGTCTAGTCATCTTACAACAGTGGTTGGCAGCCACAGGAGAGCAGCTGAATCACATGGACGTTTTTTAAAAAGTGGATGCTTTACTCTGAGAAATCTTAGTTTATTGGTTCTGGGGTTCTAGAACCAATTGGTTCTGGTGCTAGAATTTGTAGTAGACAAAAGATTCTCATGTGTATCCGTGTTTAAAAACCTCTGCTGAGGCAGATGACAGTGATTCCTGGGTTTTTGTTGAGATATCTGAGTTTTGGTTGTTCTTTGCAGCTCTTCCCCGTACGCTGGGACCTAGCCTCTGGAGGGTGACTCCCAAGTTCACCAGCCCAGATGGGCCTCAGACTACCTCCTCCACCTTGCTGGTTCCTGTGCCTAACCTTGACAGGTAAGATACTGCCATATTGCCACTCATTTCCTCCCCTGGTCTCCCTTTGGTCCTACTTTGTAGAGAATTTGACAGCCTTCTATTGCATCATCTAGGTCGGGTCCCCAAGGCCCAGGTAGGAGCAGGGGCCCAAGGTCCCATGGATGGAAGGATGCCTTCCAGTGGATGTCTGCCCGTGTCTCCCCGAACACCCTACGGGATGCCATATCATGGGTAAGGTATCCCCAGTCCTGTCCTTGGCCTTCAATGTAGATGAGAATGATCCTGCATAGGTGTATAGTCTTAACCTGAAAACGAGGGCTAGGGAATAACTGTGTCCATTTAACAAGTAACCCATGGCATTGGAGCATATTCAAGGAGATATTGCCATTTCCTCCAGCCCACCATGTATATTTTCCTCATTTCATTCAGTAAACATTTATTTAACACCTTCTTTGGGCCAGGCATTTTTGCTAGGTACTAGGGACATAGCAGAGAACAAGATAGATATATTCTTGCTTTCATGGATCTTACAATAAATAATAATACATAGCATTATTTATTAATGTAAAGTATTATACATTGCATTATCTTGTATAATCCTTACGAAAATCTTACAAAGGAAATATCACCTTTATTTTACAGATGAGGAAACTCAGGCTTTGAAATATTAGGTAACATGCTTAGAGACTCACACCTATTAAGCAGAGGAGCCAGATTTAACTCTGAAGTTCACGTTCTACTGCTTGGTTTCTGTATCTAATACAGAGCCTAGCCCATAATAGTTGTTCAGTAAATATTTGTTGAATCTGATCTATAAGGTCAGATTCTTAGTAATGAACACTAAGTCTCATAGGGCAGAATCTTTTGCTTTTCAGGCAAAATTCTAGGTAAAAGTTCTGCTTATAAGATCTTCTGAATGAAGTTGACACACATATCGCTCTCATGTCTGTCACAGCCTATCCCTGCTGCTTTCATGCTGTGTACTTTGGACAAATGACTTGACCTCTGTGAGCCTTGACTTTCTCATCTGTAAATTGGTGTCATCAGCACAGCTGAGCCTCAGATGTCTCCACGACAGGGTTACCTCTCTCTGGGGACCTGTGGACTAAGGTCATATCATACCCTGAAGGGAGGAACATTTTCCCATATTGCCAAAGATGATCTGAGCTCTAAGGCTGTCCCACAGTAAGAAGTAGGAAGAGGGCCTGGATTCCAGAAGTCCTAATGCCATCCCTGTGCTCTGACACTACTGTTCATATGAAAGCGTCTGCACACAAGCTGTCCCCAGTGCCACAGATATGTGTCTCTGTTCTTCACAATACTGGTGCCTTTTCTTCTGGCTTTAGCTCACAAATCACCTCCACAGAGAGGCTCTCCCTGACTCCTTGTCTTGTCACAACCCCTCTTATGCTCTGCGTAACTCCGATTTGTTTCCTTCTTGGCATTTAGCATCAGTAGTAGTTGTTGTATTTATTTCTCTCTGTACTTGTGTTTTTTCTTTTTAAACACAAGATATAAACTTCATGAGGGCAGAAACTATGTCTGTCTTACTTGCTATTGTATGCAGTGCCTGTTGCAACAAGTACCTTGGTGGACCTTTGTGTTTTTTTAGGAGTACAGTGCACAGTCTTGGCTCACTGCAACTTCTACCTCCCAGGTTCAGGCAATTTTTATGCTTCAGACTCCTGAGTAGCTGGGATTACAGATGTGTGCCACCATGCCTGGCTAATTCTTGTATTTTTAGTAGAGTTTTTAACCTTCTACTTTCAACATAGAGATTCTCCATGTTGGCCAATCTTGAACTCTTGGCCTCAAGTGATCTGCCTGCCTCAGCCTCCCAAAGTGCTGGGATTAAAGGCATGAGCCACTGTGCCCGACCCTGGGTCAACCTTCTTAAGCATAACACAAAGAGTGACAGGGTCACTGTGCCTGACCCTGGGTCAACCTTCTTAAGCATAACACAAAGAGAGACAGGGTAAACTAAGCAGTCTCTGGGATAAGAGCTAGCTCAGGTCTCCTGCAGACCTGTGAGAGAAGAAACATCTTTACAAAGCTTATACCTGGAGATGTGTGTGTGCTGGGGTGATTGATTGGGGTAATGGGAGCTGGTAGAAGGAGGGGTTGTACAAGACTGGAAAGAGAGCCTAACGGGAACTCTGACCTGTTGCTATATTTGCAACTAGGTGCCAACCTACCCCATTATCTTTTTTTTTTTTTTTTTTTTGATATGGAGTCTCATTGTCACCCAGGCTGGAAGTACGATAGTGCAATCTCTGCTCACTGCAACATCCACCTAATGGATTCAAGCGATTCTTCTGCCTCAGCCTCCTGAGTAGCTGGGATTACAGGCGCCCGCCACCACACCTGGCTAATTTTTTGTATTTTTTAACAGAGACAGGGTTTTACGATATTGGCCAGGCTGGTCTCAAACTCCTGACCTCAGGTGATCCACCCACCTTGGTTTCCCAGAGTGTTGGGATTACAGGTGTGAGCCACCATGCCCAGCCTACCCCATTATCTTTTTGCTGGCGTAGTCTTTGCTTATTTAGTCACTCGGTCAAGCACTTATTTCCACTTATTCAATTTGTACTTGTATCTCATCCCTACTGTATCTTAGCACACTGTGCTGTACTTGGGCACCAGAGATACATTGATGAGTAAAACATACACGGTCCCTGCCCAGGTTGTGCTTATAGACTAACAGGAGAGACAGACCTTAGATAAATAATTCTAGAGATGATTGTTTAGATGCCATTGTGGTCAGGACTCCAGAGAAGTTCTGGTGCTGTGAAAGTCTGTAGCAGAGGAGATGCCCCCCTGGATTTCCTGAGGAAGTGGTGTTTGAGTGTAAGGCTGAGTCTGACGGAGTTGACTGGCGAACGACCGTGTCCTTAATGTGCTGTCTCTCCCAGGGCACTCTGGCTGTGCTGGCCCTGCAGCTGGCAAGGCAGATCCACTTCCATGCATCCCTGCCAGCAGGACCTCGCCGAGTGGAACACTGCTCCTGGCACAGTCCCCTGGGCCGTTTCCTTTCATCTCCCCTGTGTCACCCATGCTCCTGTGAGTTGTCAGTCCTGGGGACAGGAGGGCTGGGCTGGGAGTTTCTCTGGGCCAGGAAGTATCTCTGGACACACCTCAGGAAAAGAGCTGTCAGCAGCTCCTTGCCTTTCCTATCTGAAGTCAGAGGAAGAGAAATTGGGGAAGTTCTATCCACCCAGGGTGTGGGCCACGCCTGCCCCTCAGTGTCTTTCCATTTCCTCCCATCACTTCCAACCGAGGGAGCCCCACAGGTCCAGACCACTTTCGATTCTGGGTGTGGCTTCCTGTCCCACATTCAACCAGTTAGGTTATTCTCTGGTCAGTCACTCAGTCATTCATGAATAAATGAATCTTTATTGAGCACCTATTATGTGCCATGGTACAGAGGCAACATAGCCTAGTGGTTGAAGCTCTAGAGTCAGATTATAAAGGTTCAAGTCCCAAAACTGCTGCATACTAGTCTTTTTTTTTTTTTTTTTTTGAGTCTCACTCTGTCACCCATTTTTTTTAAAAAAAAAAAAAATTTTTTTTTTTTTTTTTTTTTTTTTTTTTTTTTTTGAGACAGAGTCTCACTCTGTCACCCAGGCTGGAGTGCAGTGGCACAGTCCCGGCTCACTGCAACCTCCGCTCCCAGGTTCAAGTGACTGTCCTGCGTTACCCTCTCGAGTAGCTGGAACTACAGGCATCTGCCACCATCCCCAGCTAATTTTATGTTTTTAGTAGAGACAGGATTTCACCATGTTGGCCAAGCTGGTCTCGAACTCCTGACCTCAGTTTGAGATCCACCCACCTTGGCCTCCCAAAGTGCTGGGATTATAGGTGCGAGCCACCGTGCCGGGCTGCACACTAGTCTTATGTCCCTGAACAAGTCACTTTTAACTTCCTTCTGCCTTAGTTTCTTCATCTATAAAATGGGGTAATAATAAAGCCCACCCTATAGGTTTACTGAGAGGACTAAATGAGTTAATACCTATCAAGGACTTAGGGCAGTGCCTGACACATAGTAAATGCGTAGTAATTATTAGTTTAAGCATTAGTTCTTGTCTTTATTGTGATGATAATCATTAGCAATATTACTATCAAAGAAGGTGCTAGGTACTGGGGCTACAACAGTGAGTAAGGTAGATGCCTCCCTGCCACTGAAGAATTCAAGCAGAGGAGTGATTGATGCTTAGGGTGGGAGATCAGCACAAATACAGGCCCCTCTAGACTCCTGTGGAAGGAAGCCAAGGAAGCAGAGAAGGAGGAGTATGAAGGAAGTGTCACAGGAGTTTCCAAATTCTTCCTATGGCCTCTAAAACCTTAGGGAGGACTCAGTCAAGCCCAAGCAGCCTGCACTGATCCTTTTCTGACCTGACCATGTGTTTTTGTTTTGTTTTGTTTTTTTCTTTGAGACAGAGTCTTGCTCTGTCACCTGGGCTGGACTACAATGGCGCGATCTTGGCTCACTGCAACCTCCACCTCCTGGGTTCAAGCAGTTCTCCTGCCTCAGCCTCCCAAGTAGCTGGGATTACAGGCGTATGCCACTGCACCCCACTAATTTTTGTATTTTTAGTACAGATGGGGTTTCACCATGTTGGCCAGGCTGGTCTTGAGCTCCTGACCTCAGGTGATCCACACGCCTCAGCCTCCCAAAGTGCTGGGATTATAGGTGTGAGCCAGTGCACACAGCTCTGACCTGACCACTCTTGCTGGCTCTTTGCAGCACTGCGGCAGCACATCCTCCCCAGCCCTGATGGCCCAGCTCCCAGGCACGCTGGCCTCAGAGAACCCAGGCTTGGCCAGGAAGAAGCCTCAGCTCAGCCCCAGAACCTCTCCTCACACAACTCCTTGAGAGCAGCTCGTCCTCAGGACCCCTCCTCTGAGGAAGGTATGTCCCTTCCTCATGGAATCGGCAGAAGGCAGAGATTGGTGGTGGTGGGGAGCTGGACAGATGGACGTTGGTTGATGCATATTCCCAGAGAAGGGAATTGGCACTCCTGTGAGGTCCCATGCCTTGTGAGGTGATTGAGGGTTATTTCAGTTCCTGGCAAGGGTGCTGGATGGAAAGCCTGGGTAGTCCGGGAGAGATGGAGAAAAGAAGTACAACTTTCTCCTTTGCCCTGGCCGGGTGTCGGCCTTTCCCTTGCAGGTCCCAGTGATTTTGGCTTCCTGCAGGCCAGTAGCAGCATCAAGTCCAAGGCAAAACCAGCCCAGCCTCAGCACGCTGGTGAACAGGTATTATCTAGATTTGGCCACCTGGATCCCCGTAACATTCTGTTGGGCAGGTGGCAATCCCAGTGAACCATCCCTTGATGAGTCTTTATGTTTCTTCCCCAGGAACAAGATAAATCAAAAACTCTTTCCCTCGAGGAGGCTGTGACTTCCATTCAGCAGCTCTTCCAGCTCAGTGTTTCCATCGCTTTCAACTTCCTGGGTAACCAAATGGACCCTGCATCAAGGCAGGAGGGTGGGAAAATGAAAAGGGTATGGGGTGGGTCAGATAGAGTCAGGATAGAGAGTGGCTTAAACAAGGGAGATTTTATGTTCTCCCAGGTAGGTAGACCAAATCTGGCATGGTGGCTCAGTGATGGCAGGGACCCATTCTTATGCAAATGTGTCCTGGCGTTCTTAAAACTGGCTCCCATCTTGAGGCAGAGTTTGGCAATTCCAGCTACTACCCGCCTGTCCATATTCTAGCCAGCTAGGAGGGGCAAGGTAGGGAAGCTAAAGGATCACTTCTTCCCTTTAATCTAGATGTTGCACAAATCCTTGTCCAGAATGTAGGCACATGGCCACACCTCGCCATAGAGGATCCTGCCAAGTTACTATGTATGAAGGAGAAAATAAATCTTGGAGGGCACTTAGCATCCTCTGCCACACTTAGGAATGAACAGGCTCCTGAGGTTTGTAGCAGATTCTCAATGTGTGAACAGGAACATTTTCCCCTCATCTGAGGACTCCACATGCCCTTTCACCATTTGTCCTGGTCTCTGCAGTGACTTGGCTTGTTTCAGGCCTTCTAATGTGGAGACTCAGACTCCCCACAGCACCTATTGAGGTCTAGTGGGCAGATAGGCAAGAGGCTGGGATTCATTTGCAACAAATTTATTGAGCATTTACCTTTTGCTAGGTCCTATTTTAGGTACTGGGGATACAGTGATTTGCAAGAAGAAGTCCCTATTCTCAGGGAGCAGAAAAACAATAATTAAGAAACAAATAAAAAGAATCTCAGACGCTGATAAATGTTATGAAGAAAATAGAACAAGGGAATGTGTTAGTGACTTGAGCAAGGAGCAGTTTTTGATTTAGAAGTCCTCTCTGAGCAGAAGACCTTTGATCTAAGAGCCGTCACAAAAACAGCCACTTGTGTTTCAATCTGGAGAAAGAGCTTTCCACGTGACAGGAACAGTAAGTGCATAAGTCCTGAGGCAGGATTGGATTTTGCTTGCTAAAGGAACAAAAGAAAGGTGAGTGTGGCTGGAGCTTCGAGATCTTGGGAAGGGTGGAAGGAGATGAAGCCAGAACAGCAGGCAGGAGTCAGGTCAGGTGAGGTCTTCTGAGCCACAGTAGAGTATGGATTTTCTAAGTGAGACAGGAAGTCTTTGGAGGACTTTAAGCGGGAGCAGGAAAGGGGACAGTCACATGATCTGATGTACTTTTCCAAAGATCTCTTTGGCTGCCATGTAGACAGACATGGATTGTAGGGTTGCTAGAGGGGTAACAGGAGACCAGGTAGGTGCTGTTAGTGACAGCTCAACAAAACACGTCAGTGGCATGCTCTAGGTTAGAGAAAGGAAAGAGCAACAAGAGTAGATGGATCTGGGTATATTAAGGAGCCAGGTGGGAAACAGGATGATAGTGGGATCCTTTGCACTCTTGAATCTTCTCCCCAAGGGCAGAGGGCTCTGTCAACCCGGGACAGTGAGTTTTCAGGCAGCAGGGAGGCAACTTTATTTAATTCACTGCTGGCTGAATGGAACCTGGTTTCTCCCTCATTAGCTTTATGTGATTTTGATGGGCAAAGAGTCTCTTCTTGGAATTTTCTTGCCCATCCCTTCATTCATATATTCATTTATTCAGCAAGTGCTTGGCACAGTGGCAGAACACAAAAGGAGCATAAGCCATAATCATGTTTTGCATTTGTATGGTACCTTCCACCCTAGGCAAAGTTATTTCTTCTACATTTCTTTTTCTGCTCTGCCTCCAGGATTTTACAGTCTAATTGAGGAGACAGGATTTGCACTTTTGAAACGGTTTAGAAAAAGGTTTGGTATATTAAGTAAGTGCCAAAAAAGTGTTTAAAGGCTGAGTGTGGGCTGAAGGTTCTAGAGCAGACACAGGATGGGACCTTTGATGGTGGAGGTGGAAAGAGATCTCAGGCAGGAGGGGCAGATGGAGCAAAGGCTTTGAGTTGAGAACTGGCTGTGACCTGATCCTTTACTGTTTCCTTTTTGTTTGGGCAATGAAAGAACATGGGCTTTGGAGTTGGAAGTGCCTGCATTCAGGTCTTGATGCTGCTGGATTACTGCTCCCAATTTCTTCATGAAACAAGATTAATGGTATCACTTGTATCAGTTAGGGTTTGTTGGTTATGAACAACCTAAACCCACTCTGGCTAATTTAAGCACAAAAGGAATCTATTGGGATCTATTGACCTGCCAAGCCTCAGAAAGGACAGGAATCAGGGAAGCTCCAGAGACCCAAGAGGCAGCCGCTGATAGACAGTATCTTCAGAGTGCTGCTGTCAGAATAAACCTACAAGGACCGTTTTCTTTCCTTGTCCCAACCAGATCAAGGTTCAGATTCCTAAGAAAAAATCTCTGTGGTTGGCAAGAACGCAAGCACATTGGCAGCACTAGGGGAGGGGTTGTTCCCAACAGGAAATCTGGATGCTATTACCAAGAGAAGGAGGAATGATTTATAGTAGGGCAGAACCTGTTGCTGGCTATGGCAAACCAGTGAAATATTCGGAGGATGGAAATATATGCAAAGGGCCGAGTGTAGTAGCTCATGCCTGTAATCCCAGCTACTTGGAAGGCTGAAGCAGGAGAATCACTTGAACCCAGGAGGTGGAGGTTGCAGTGAGCCAAGATTGCACCACTGTACTCCAGCCTGGGCAACAGAGCTGGACTCCATCTCAAAACCAAAAAAAAGGCCAGGTGTGGTGGCTCACACATGTAATCCCAGCACTTTGGGAGGTGGAGGTGGGTGGAACACAAGGTCAGGAGTTCAAGAACAGCCTGGCCAAGATGATGAAACCCCGTCTCTCCTAAAAATACAAAAATTAGCCAGGCGTGGTGGCAGGCGCCTGTAACCCCAGCTAGTTGGGAGGCGGAGGCAGGGAATTGCTTGATCCCAGGAGGCAGAGGTTTCAGTGAGCCAAGATGGCGCCATTGCACTCCAGCCTCAGCAACAGAGCAAGACTCTGTCTCGAAAAAAAAGAAAGAAAGAAATATATGCAAAGTGTCTGGCACAAAAGAAGGAAAGGGAGGAGGATCAGATGAGGAGTCTGTAGGTACCTGGCTGAGGGTGTGGGGAAGTTCTCTGAGGAAGCTATGAGTGTTTGTGCCCTGTGCCTTCTTATAGGGACAGAGAACATGAAGAGTGGTGACTACAAGGCAGCCTTTTCTTACTTCCAGAAAGCTGCAGCCCGCGGCTACAGCAAAGCGCAGTACAACACGGGCTTGTGTCATGAGCATGGCAGAGGCACCCCCAGGGACATTAGCAAGGTATTCCCCTGCCCCCAAGCCCGTTCCCTGTGCTGGGCTGCTGAGAGCGATGTCTAGAAATGAGCAATGGGCAGGGAAGGGGGAAAGTTTGGCTTCTTTTCCCCACTGGGTTGTAGCCCAGCTGCGAAAGAAAAATAAGAAAGAAGCTGCTAACTTCCAGGAACTTAGACTCAAACATCAGGGAGGGCAGGGATTTTGCCTTTCTTCTTTGCAAGTGTATTCTCAGCTTAGAAATAGTAACTTGATGAATGGATTAATTAATTTTTTTAAGGTAGGATAAGAACACAAAGAGGTTATATATAAGAATGTATTTCTTAAAGTTGTATGTGAAGGCAAAAAAAAAAAACCTGAAATTTTCTTCAATAGAAAACTGGTTAATTACATCTATTTGGGCCTTAAAATGATGTGCTAGATCTATATTGTCAGGGAAAGACATTCATGGTGTATCATTAAAGTTAAAAAATAGGTTATAAAGTAGTGTAGTATGATCTAAGTCTCTCTCTCTCTCTTTGCCCCCCATACACACACACACACACACACACACACACGTGTGTACAAATGCATAGATGTCTAAAATGTATGTGTGTGAGTATGTATAACACATGTGGGAAGATATTTGTAAGGCTGAACACTAACATTTTAAGCAAGAATGATCTTTAGGAGGCTGAATTTCTTGGGATTTTATGTTTCTATTTTTGGTTTATATTTTTAAATTCTGGCTTATCTGAATTTTCTGACTACTCTATAATTATTATATATTACTTAATTAAAATAATTTTTAAAAATTTCACTGAAAGAAAAAGATGCTTACAGAGTTACCAGCTGACTGGGTGTTTCTCCCTTTGCCTCAGGCGGTCCTTTATTATCAACTGGCTGCCAGCCAGGGCCACAGCCTGGCTCAGTACCGCTATGCCAGGTGCCTACTACGAGACCCAGCCCCTTCGTGGGACCCTGAGCGGCAGAGGGCAGTGTCCATGCTGAAGCAGGCTGCAGACTCAGGCTTGAGAGAGGCGAGTACCATTGGCAGGGTCTGTTGAAGGTCTCTGGGGCCTGTGGAGCCTGAAACTGACCAAGATGCCTTTTTTTCCTTCCTCCTTGACCACAGGCCCAAGCCTTCCTCGGGGTGCTTTTCACCAAGGAGCCCTACCTGGATGAGCAGAGAGCTGTGAAATATCTTTGGCTTGCAGCCAACAATGGGGTATGAGATCTCTAGTATGCAAGCATGTTGGGGATGAAGCCTGATAAGAGAAGGGATTTTGGAACGGGTACTGAGTTCTGTGCGTAGGAGATTGTTTGATAGGAGCTTTGGGCTAGCTTCAAGCCTTAGCTCTCGCTGACTTACTGTGTGACCCTTGGGCAGTTGCAGGAGTGCGCTGGAGCTGGCTTACATCAGGCTGTGAGAGCTGCGTCCAGCTTAAAATCTGCGATGGTGGGAATATTTGCACCACAGAAATTGCTGAATGCCACGAAGCAGCACTTTTTCCCTGCTAGAGAGCCAGTTGCTCAACATTTACCAGCACATTATTGGGCCTGGTCACTTCATGATTGAAACCTATTTCCTCGTCTTTAAAATCAGCATAATACTGTTTGCCTTACCTGTCCACTATTTCACAGGGTTGTTGTGAGGATCAAAATCTAACTGAGATTACAGGTGTGAGAATGCTGTGTAACCTGTACACATGAAAAATGCATCATTTCAAGTGATGGTAACCCAGGGAAATCAGAAGATACATCAGGTGGAGGCAGTAAACAGCGAACACTGCTCAGCCTGGGGTGGGTGGGCATGTCTGGTTGTCTGTGAACTGGGGGCACTGGCATTCAGACAATTGAGATGTGTTCCATGAAGCGTTAGTTCCATGAGATGTTTATAAGTCATGAGAGGAAAAAAATGGTTAGGTGGGTTTGGGAAATACTGAGTTAAACAGTTGTTGTTAATGTTGGAAGTCTCAAAGCTTTATGTCACTGTAGATCATCGAAAAGGCCATCTGTGGTTTTCTGTATTCCTCAAATGTATTTAACCAGTGTATCTTTTGAGTTGCATCTTGACGGACTAGGAGTCGTGGATTAAATCAAGCAATATATGTGTGTACCATGATGTCCCTACATAGGGGACTGCTGCTTCCTTTGTTTTCTGGCTAACACACTGATAGCTTCATTGAACTCCTGGGCATCAGAATGCTTTTCCTTGTCTACGCTGTTGCCCAAAGTATCTGCAGTAGTTGTCAAAAGGGGACCAATGTCACCAACCAATATCCAGAGCTGTACCTACCTTACCTTGAAAGAGTCCCACAGAGCCTTTCAAAGTTGGGCAGATCTGCACATCCATATGCAGGGCAAGCCTGTGGGCATGCTGGCCTGCTTTAATCAGACCAGCATGCTAGCAGGAAAAGTGCACAAAAGGATATCTGTCAACAATTTTATATGTGACACTGTCTTGGGACTCAGACCTAACACTTTTCCGCCCCACAGGGAATTGTGTCTTCCTGGGTTTGTACTGAGCAGCGTTGCAGGGGTGGTGGTTTGGCCTTACATGTGTCCAATGCTGTGTTGGAACCTGGCCTGTAGGCATAAGTCTGCCGTATTTATTGGAGGGACTTTGCCCTGTGTGTTATAGAAGTGGGGGCAGAATGTGTAGACAACTCTTCCAGAAATTTGACCATGGTGGGTAGAAGAGAAATGGGACCACAATTGGAAGTCAATAGTGTTTTGTTTTGTTTCTTTAAATTGGGAGAGCAAATATGATTCATATAGTGCATGTAAGCCCTTTTCATATAGCATATTTAATTCTTGCAACAACCTAATAAGGTAGGTGCTTTTAGTATCCCATTTTATAGGTGAGGAAACTGAGGCACCAAGAGGTAGAGTCATGTGCCTGAGTTAACACGGCTGGGAAGTGGTAGAGCCGTGACGGAAGCGTAGACTGCCTGGCTGTGTAGCTGGACACCCGGCCTCTACCTGATCCTGAGCATAGCTCTCAGTGAGAGGAGAAAGGATCCAGAGCCAGGGCAAAGAGCATAGCTCTTTAAAGGAGAAAATCTGCTTTTTTTGGTCAGCCCTTCCAGGCAGAGATTCAGGAAGGCACAGGGTTTTTGGGAAGGTGAGTCTCCACCCTTGCCTCCTTGCTGTTTCAGGGCAACGTAGGAGCCCGACTCCCAGGTTTCCTGTAACTGGGCTGAGTGTTTCCTATAGCCTTCCTTGTACATGCTTTCAGCCAGCCTGTGCAAGACAAGCCTCCACACTGCCCTGGCTGGAATCTGCCCCGGTGGAGGGATCCCCTTCTCCTTTGTATTGGGCGAGCTCTGAGCCTCTGGCAGTTCGTAGTGGAGATCCCTTGCTATGGGGTGGGCCAGGGCTCGGCCTTGACCCTGCATGGATGAAGTCCCAGCATGCCTGACTTTACTTTCCTCCTGCCTTAGCATTTCAGTTCCTCAGTCCTGCGTGTGTGTATCTGTTTATCTGTCCATTTTCTCCCTTAGGACTCACAGAGCAGGTACCACTTAGGAATTTGCTACGAGAGAGGCCTTGGTGTGCAGAGGAATCTGGGAGAGGCCTTGAGATGTTACCAGCAGTCGGCAGCTCTGGGAAATGAGGCCGCCCAGGAGAGGCTGCGAGCCCTGTTTTCCACGGAGGCTGCAGGTACAGACCCAAGTCCAGGCCAACGGGTCGCTTCCCTAAGCTCAGTACCCTGTGACAGAATAGTATGTGGCAGTAGTCTCTGGTCTCCTTGTCGTTTCCAACCCCGGTGGTGGCTAAGAGCACAGCTTTTGCAGTCAGAAAAATCTGAGTTGGTTTTTTTTTGAAACAGAGTTTCACTCTTGTTGCCCAGGCTGGAGAGCAATGGCGCGATCTCTGCTCACTGCAACCTCTACCTCCCAGGTTCAAGCAATTCTCCTGCCCCAGCCTCTGGAGTAGTTGGGATTACAGGCTCCCACCACAATGCTCAGCTAATTTTTTATATTTGTAATAGAGACAGTATTTTGCCATGTTGGCCAGGCTGGTCTCAAACTCCTGACCTCAGGTGATCCATCCGCCTCGGCCTCCCAAAGTGCTGAGATTACAGACATGAGCCACCGCTACCAGCCATACCTGAGTTTTAACCCCCACTGTCACTGAACTTAGACTCCATGGCTTTGCGCCTCAGTTTCTTTATCTCTAAAAATAAAGGCAGTGGTAAAACCTAACTCACTAGGTTGCCATAAGGATTAAATGAGACGACTCTAAGGGGCTTAGCACAGCCAGACAGCACAGTAGGTACTGAGCAAATGGTAGCTGTTCTGATGCTTTTATAGGAGAGACAATATCCCAAGGTTGTCTGAGTTACCTTTTAGGGCTCTGAGAGCCCTGCTCACTCATGAGTCACTGGGGTTGGGAGTTAACGATGCCTGGGGAACCAAGCCTTTGAAGAAGTCCTGGCGGCAAAGTAGGAGTCCAGGAATATACAGCATGAGTAATGGCTGCTCTCACCTCTTCTTATAGCCCCGGGGCCCAGCGACCTGACAGTTACAGGACTGAAGTCTTTCTCCAGCCCCTCCCTCTGCAGCCTGAACACCCTGCTGGCAGGAACCACATGCCTACCACATGCCTCGAGCACAGGGAACCTTGGCCTCCTCTGCAGAAGTCGGCATTTCAGAGGCAGCCCGGAAGCCCCCAGCAGGGCTATCCCCCCACACCCCCGCCCACTGGAAAGGAGCGTCATCAGACTAGGTTTTGGCTAAGGTGAGATGAAACATAGTCACTGGTGCCTCTTAGGGGCCAGAGGGGGCGGGAGGTTGGATAACAAAAATAGAGCGTCAGCAGCCCTTTCCAGGTAGAAATTCCAGCTAGAGTTCAGGTTCTCAAGCAATTTCAGGTACATGCTAGTAAGTAACTGATCGTTCCCCCCACTTGGTAGCCTCACAGATGAGCCTTGGATGCGTTCACAGTCATTTCTGGTCTGTGCACCAAAGGATGCATTCAGTGACCTATGAAGAACCCTGCTGGAGGGTCCACAGACCCTGGTGCTCACCTTAGCCTTTGTGTGTGAGCAAATCACTCACCTTCTCCCTTCCTGTGCCTCAGTTTTCTCACACTTAAACCAGTACCACTCTTTGCCAATGTTTGATGTGTGTACCCTTGGTTCACAGGAAGATTTTTGGTGGCATTCAAGTTAATATTTTCTATTTCAGTAGTTATATATTTAACATATAATATAAAAGTATGACTAGCATATTGATCTGCAGTTTGACAGATGTTCTGTCTAGGATAAAGCTAACTTCTAAAAAAAGTGAATCAGGGCCAGGCGAGGTGGCTTGCACCTGTGTTCCCAGCACTTTGGGAGGCCGAGACAGGCGGGACACCTGAAGTCGGGGGTTCAAGACCAGCCTGACCAACATAGAGAAACCCTGTCTCTACTAAAAATACAGAATTAGCTAGGTGTTATGGCACATGCCTGTAGTCCCAGCCACTCGGGAAGCTGAGGCAGGAGAATAGCTTGAACCCAGGAGGTGGAGGTTGCAGTGAGCTGAGATTGTGCCATTGCACTCCAGCGTTGGCAACAAGAGCGAAACTCCATCTCCAAAAAAAAAAAAAAAAAGTGAATCAGTTTAAAGAAAAACATAGCATAAAAGGGAGCACAGATCCAGAGAGGTGGCAAAAATCATAGGGGTGGTTCCGTGAGTGGCTGACACTTAGGAAACACTGAATCAGGCCATCCTTGAGACTAGCTCCACGATTCACCTCTATGCATCCCCCGTGGGCTCATAATTGTTTTCATTTCACCTTTGATTTGGAAGGAAGAAGTTTCTCGCCCAAGTGCCTGGATGTGTCTGCTTGACTTTCAGAACTTCTCACTCAGCCCTAAAGATGGAACCTGTGGGTTCTCAGATATATATCACAATTTGAGTCCTGAAGAAGAGGCCAGTTACCCACTCACCTTCCCCCAAACCCTATGCACCTGCGCCAGCACAGTCAAGAAGAGGAGGGTGCGTAGACCCAGGTCTGCCTCTGCCACTTGCTTGGCCATGTCACCTTGAAGCAGTTACCTGATTCCCTGTATTGCTTCCTCAGTTGTAGACCAAAGGCAATGGTGTCTGCCCTCCTGCCTTATAAGACAAATGCAAGGGCATTTCACCAGAGAGGACCTTGGTACTCACTTTGGCCCTGGAGGCCGTGATGCCCATGGGTGCGTGGCTTTATGAGTCGCCAAGCCAGGATGAGGTTACCTGGGTCTCCTGACTCCAGGGTTCTTGTCTGTCAGTTCACACTGCAATTTTATGTGAAAGCATTATTACTGTCCTACCCATGGGAGAGTAAATGTAGATGGAGTGCTAGGAGTCTTGAGCTGGAGAGTGTAGATTTTGAGGTCCCCGTTTGGGAAATGTGTGCCAGAAATGTCTGGGTGTTTAATAAAACAGATATTGGATTATCTCATCACTCTTGCCCTGAGTATGTTGGGGAGTGCCAAGGAGATGGGCAGGGGGAGCTGAAAGCTGAGGCTCTGTCCTCATTTCTAAACTCTCCATTAACCAATTTAAAGGATCTTAAAAGCTTCTCCAAGAGAGAGACTTAGGAAAAAAAAGATTTCTGAGTCAACGCTAATGAGTCCAATTACTGAATTTGTGAATAGCTGTTCCCTGGCTTCTGGATGTTAGCCCAAGTTGAAGAGCATAGATGTGGCTGAGGGTGGGGGCTGGGAGGGATAGAGGGCCCACCCCCCACAATCCTGTGACTGAGTGGGAAGAGCGACCAGCTTGGTCAGTTCAAAGGTAAGAAGATTTGAGGGGGGATAGTCATCCACGTTTCCCTCCCTGCTTCCCACCGCACCTCTCTCAACTTCAAATGGTTGTATCACACTTTCTAGCACCTCCCTTTCACCCGGGGAGCCCAGGCGTCCTCTAGCTCCAGCTCCTCACCTGCTCCCTGCCTCCTTTTCAGGGCTGCCCTGCATACTGGCTCACCGCCATTGAACCCTGCACATGGCTGCCTTCCACAGATGGCACTCCTTGGGAGCAGGGACCTTATCTTTGTATTCCAAGGTCCCCAGCACTGAGTGAAAACCCCGTGCAGGGTAGGAAACCTGAGGTCTCAAGCTCAGGGTTTTAAGCTGTGCAGTGCACTAAGCTCTCTGCCAAAAAAGCAAACAAACAAAGGTTTCTGTGGTTAAATAAGTTAATGCTGCACCAGACGTCCCCTTTTTATAGATTCACAATACACATCAGCATATTCGAGGTTCCAAGAAGTCCTCCAATAAAGAACTTGGTTAACCCAATGTTTTCCCTCACTGAGTTGAGCCCAGAGCCTGCTTCCCTACAGATTGCCTTTGAGCCTTCCTGGAGCACCCTCTGCGTGAAATGTCACTGTGTGTCCTCCCGGTGGAGCCCCACTCCCCAGCCTCCTCCTTCTGTTGTCATTTTGGATTTCCTGACTACTTCCTTCTAGCCGTACCCAGGGCCAAGGAGTGGTTCAGTCTGGACACTGGGCATCCTGTGGTGAAGGCCAGATGCAGCCCTCCCTGAGTGGCTCTCCCTCCCCGTCAGTCACTACTGAGCTAAATACTGATTCAATTTGGGATGCCAAAGGTGGGGGGGGCAGGATATTTTTATGCTCTCCAATTTAAAAAGGAAGGGCCTCTCCTGTGGAAAGGGAAGGATGGCAGAGTCATGAGAAAGGTGTTGTCAAGGGACCAAAAGTCGTTGGCTGTTCAGTCACTGCAGTCGATCCAGCCCCAGGGGGATGGGCTTCATTGGCAGACCTGGGGACTGCTGTGCTTTTGCCATTAAAATTCTGCTGCTAATGACTCACCATCAGTGCCCCAGAGGAAGTGTGAAAGAAGGAGAGGGAGGTGGCTCCCATCAGCAGGGCCAGCCTGGGTCAGGATGCTGGGTCACAGCCTGGTGCCCTCACCAATGAGACCTTTGTGTGAAGCTCTGCTGCCTCAGCTTCTCTATCCAGAGATGCTATTTTCTGAGTCCTGACACTGATGGGAAAAAGGCTATTTGGTTCACTTTATCTTTAATGCTAAATATATGTTCAACAAATGAGTGATTATACTCACCCCTGCCCCACCCAATGACCAGCACCAAGCCTACCCAGCACATAGTAGGTACTTTAAATAACTTGAATGAATAATTCTTTATTGCCCCCCACCTTGCTCGCCACCTACACACACGCATACACACACACACACACACACACACACACACACACACACACACGGTTCCCTGTGCTACTTTTGGCACTTAGTAACTGTTCAATAAATACAAAATGTTGCATGTGTGTTTCTGATCATGTCCCACTCCTCCCCCATTGTACCCAAAACTTAGCAGGAATTAGAAAATGCTGATCTTTTTTCTAGGTACACACTATGTGCCAGGCCAAGCCTGTGCTGTCCCTCCTCCTGTCCTCCCTTTTTTGGGATTTGGTTCTCTCCAGAGTTTCAAGGGTAATGGTTGCCATCTCACTCTTATTTCAGCCAGGGAAGAGGTTGGGTCAGCGAGCTGCCACACTGAAGTTGGGTGACAGACAAGGCGCTGCCTGTCAATCTCTGAGCTGCCCCCAGGCTCTGAGCACTGCATTGTACTCCTGGTGCTGGAGAATGGCTGACTATTGATAAAAATGTCCCTCTACGCTTTCCAAATTAAGACGACATTTAAGTGGGTGCTTGCTGGCTCGCCTGCTCCTTCAGTCTCCCAGGGGGCAGAGCCCATCTTGGTGGAAACTGTTTTGAGCATGTCCAAATCTCAGCTTTGACATGTTGGCTGATGTCAAGAAGTTTCTGTAACCTTCCTGTTCAGCACACCCAATTCTGTCACCAGAGACACTGTCTCACTCTGAGCCTGTTATTGGGAAAGGAGCTGGTATCAGCTCGCCAGGAGGGGATACATGATGCAGGAGAGAACACAGTCCCTCACATACATACACCCCCATCCTGATCAAAGTTCAGAACAGGAGCAGCTCTACCCATGAGTTCTCCAGGTGCTGCAGGGAAGGCAGGGCTGAGGGCTGACCTAGAGGACTGTAGTGGTCCCTTATCTTAATTGGGCCCTAAATCTCTGAGAATCTGATCTGGCCAAGTGTGGTGGCTCATGGCTGTAATCCCAGGACTTGGGGAGGCCGAGGTCTCCCTCAATCATGAGGTCTGGAGATTGAGACTAGCCTGGCTAACATGGTGAAACCCCGTCTCTACTAAAAATACAAAAAAAAAAAAAAAAAAAAATTAGCCAGGCATGGTGGTGTGCACCTGTAGTCCCAGCTGCTCAGGAGGCTGAGGCAAAAGAATTGCTTGAATCCAGGAGCTGAGATCACACCATGGCATTCCAGCCTGGGTGACAGAACAAGGCTCTACCTCAAAAAAAAAAAAAAAAAAAGAGAATGTGATCTAAGTACCTACTTCTTTCCATAGAAAAAATGCATATGCTCCCAATTTTGCATGCAGTTCAGCAGGTTTGTAGATCCTGCAGTCCAACCAAGGCCCTCAGATTAAGAATCCTTGATGTATTCAAAAGACCACCATACTGAATCCCAGATCTAAATCCTAATTTGACCAACCACTCAGTTAAATGTCATCTTAATTTGGAAAGCTCTCCCCCACAAACCTGCCAGGTGGCCTTGAGCAAGTCATCTGCCATTTCTTTCTATATTTTTGGCTATAAAATGAAGACCTGAAATAGATAAAGTTCAGACTCCTTATGACAATTGCCCATGTCTGTGGATGTTTAGATAGTATCTTAAAGCAATCCTGCATAACCTTTTAAAGGTCAAGGTTTCCTTTGAGAATCTGATGAGAAATACGTATCTTAAGTCTAAAAAATGCCCATACCAAAGTTTTACCTAGTATTTGGGGGGCGGGGCAAGGAGTACAGATTTAGGGCTATTGAACTAGAATGATGCAGTGGTCCCATGTATCTAGTGGTCCAGTTGCCAGCTATAATTCCAGCTTCCTGGGGTCACCTTTCCCTGCCCACTGTCTTCTCTCTACCCTCCCAACATCGGCTCCGCACTGAAAATCTGCTGGCAACTGGGAGGTCAGCATGGTCTACTCTAGTACTTTGGTTCTCAGACTTTGCTTTTATATAACAGAATCTTTTTTTCTAATGAAGTCCTACCTGGAGCTCCAACATGGATACAAGGGGCCTCTGAAGCATTTATTGACACATTTATTCATTCATACATCCATTCAACAGGTATTCATCAAGTGTCGCTTTGTGGCAGGCACCTGGCTGGTCAGGCTGGAGACCCTGCCTGCCTGCTTGGTTTCCCCCAGTTTCTCTCACTGGCCCACAGAACCCAAAAGTTCTGTGATCCAGCCTGAAAATCACAGGTTCTGTAAGGAGATCACTCTGGCCTAGAGTGAGGTGAGCAGAAACCGAGAGACTCTGCCCCTGAAGCTCTTAACTTTGGGGAGTCTCATTTTCCTCATCTGTAAAATGGAATAATGAAATAATGATACCACACTGTATTCCAAGTATGTATGATGCCCATTATCCCTAGTTGGGAGTATGATTGGCCCATTTCTGTGAACAGTGAACAAAAGCACTGAGCTCCAAGAAAGGACACAAAGAGGAGCAGATAGAGGAACTTTTGCCTTCAGTGTCCGGGAGAGACCCGCACTGTTTAGAAGCTAGCTGATTGACTGCTCGGAAATTTCCAAGAAAATTATAAAGCTGAGCCTTGGGAAAATATCTGCTATTTCTTCCCTCCCCCATCCCCTGGAAGGCTGGCTGCTGTCAGTGCCAATTTCATAGACCCAGTTCACACAGTGTCCTCTGGGACCTGAATTCACAAGCCTGAACCTGCAATGACAGAGAAAGGTTTACCCACAAATGGGATCAGGAAAGAAGACCTCTGCACTTGAAGAGCTGCTTTCTGGGAAGGGATAGGGGCCTGCATCAGTTCAGATCCAAGTTCTTTCTGCCTTGTGCTTGAAAGTGTAGAGAGGAAGGGGCCTTCCCAGCTTTGGAATGTTCGTTTCAACAGTGTTTCCAGCGAGAGCTCGGGCAAGTTCACTGCTGCCAACGGCTCACCTCCAGGGCCTTTGCTTTTCCTCTCCTTGGTTGGCAGGCTGGTGTCAAGGTTGAAGGCATGGGTTTTGGTGTTGGGCCAGCCTGGGTCCAAATCCTGGCTCTGCCTCTGCTCCCTGCTTGATCTTTGGAAAACCACTTGACCTCTCCAAGCCCTATATCCATGTCTGTGAAATGGGGTTAATAATACCTCCCTCCCAGGATTGCTGGAAAATCAAATTAAATCCTATTGTAAAGCCTGGCGCCTGGCTCATGTAAACGCTTTATAAATAGTTGTGCTTTCTTAGCTCTAATTTTGTAGCTGAGAAGCAGATTAGTTGATAACACAGTGACAGGGGAACAGGGTTAAGAGCGCACGTGTCTGCTATTTGTGTACCTGTCACTGTGTACCAAGGTGCCCCACTCCTGTCC